GACCAATCATTTGAGCCGGCCCGGCTAAAATAACTGGATGGCCTACCTGCCTGTCAGCCTTCCATCTGTGCACAAACTTATCTCGTGCCCTCATTGGTCATGTGCGCGTTCGTGTGTGTTGGAGGAAGGGCTCTGTAAGGAAGTGGCAGATTTGTTCCGGCTGTGTATTTTCAAATTCTAGCGCACTCAAGCTGGTTTCTCCAAAATTACCTACCCCACCTTTAAGTAAAAATCTAATTAAAAAAAACACAATAACACGTGCTTTTCTGATAATTCAGAGGGTTAAACATATTTTTAATATTTAGAATACCATCAGTGAAACAGATTGGTAAAAACACTAGAAATGCGACTCAGTATAGCAACACTCTAAACGACAGCCTCTAAAATGACCACAAAGTTCAATCCATGCCTCTCTGAACTCAAACATGATAAACATACAACTCAATGCTCCAAAGGCTTTTAAAAGATGAAAGTAAATCAATGGAAACACCAACTAACTGCCCCTTTACTGCTGTGCCCTATTCAACCCATCAAACATAATTACACTCATTGATGCTTTGAATACATAACGGATCCTGCAATGCTTACAATTTGTAGGCATTAACAATATCAAACATGTTTTGTGCCCCTTGATGCTGTTTTTATGGAGCAGATACCTTGACAACGTTATTTCTGACACTGTACAACACGATATATTTTCTCTTTGCTGTTATAACATTGCTTTATGGGCATTTCCATATTTGAGGGAAGGGTTACCAATAATTCTAGAGTTCATGTTGGTAGATAGCTTTACTTGTGATGTTGTGCAATTCTAAAGTGTTATACTTGCAGGTGTCCAAAACTTATATGAAACCGTTTTTAACTCAATCTGAACATTATAACATTTCCTTGAGTTACTAAATAAACTGGTAACTGAACACGTTATCAGTACATGTTGCACAAGCTTTACACACTGTTTTGAAGTGCTGAAACTGATCCAAGTATTCAAAGTCGCTGTCCGCTGACACATGGTGCTGAAACCATTCCAATCCACTCTACTATCACGCCTCATTTTAATCGTTTATTTGAACAGGGACAATGCACATTAATGAACACTTAAGACACATAATGCTTCAAGTGTAAATATGCCGGATTTTAGCTTTGAGCTCATTTCCATCCGTAGTCCCTCACATACAACATATAAGAACATGACATTTGTAAACATAGCAAAAAATAAATACATGATATGCAAAAGAGCCAGAGCAGCACACAGGTATTTACCACATGGCAGTACACTGTAGCAGCTACGACATATTAAGTGCAAGAGGAGATGCCCCTGTGTTAAAGTGCATTTAGCGGTGATTGCACGTCTGTTTGTTTCTCAACCATTCTTTGAGTTGACCTTTAAAGCTTTTGAGAGTGGGACAATCCCGTATCTCAGTTGGCAGGCTATTCCAGAGTGAGCTGGCTTTAATGGACAGGACATTTTGACCAAAAGTGGTCCGTCTACATCTTTCAATATAAATATGGTGCTGAAAGCTCCTTGAAGGGCCACTTAAAGAACATAAAGTCTCTCTCATGGGGAGGACATTCGATGTTTCTGTGCCAACAGCACATCACATGTTAGGAGCAGATGATGCTGCCAGGCTGTGGTCCAGCCGAGGCAGCCTGCACGTGATAGGACAGCAACGTTTGTACACGAAATACAAGGTTACACAGGTTAGTACTTACTCCCAAAGTAATCCCCCCATTGACAGGCAAGCATTCCCTGCACTATGAAAGGAGATAATCACTTTCTCCATCCCTCATGATATCATTATTATAAGGATTTGGATGTGGGTGTTTAAAAAACATGTTAACGTAAATCTCACGCAGAGTTCACGCTCAGGTGCTTGTGGCACATGAGCCGATGCGTGACTCATTTTTTATTTATTTGATTTGGTCTCTCTCCATCTAGTGTCGTGTTCTTGGGAGGAGGAAACAGGTCTGAAACCTCAGCAACCACCGCGAGATCTGCAGACTTGGCATCCTATGGAAGGATTCCCATAATACCCACTCAGAGTATAGGCCTAAACCCATTGCAATGACAAAGATAAGTCACTGTGAGCAGGTTAAATAAAAGGAAGTGATGGCGGTGCTTACCTGATGGCGAGCAGCTCATGCAGTAGGTAGGCTGCAGCAGCCAGCAGGGCCCCCCCGGTGATGTACAGGGTCTTCTTCCACCAGGAGTCCGACCCCAAAACCGACATAATGCCCCCGTAGTCCTGTAAGGGGAAGGCGATGATACAGCCATATAAAGACTGCTGCTGCTCGAAGCCGCACAGCCCGAGCGGCAGGCTGTGATTCCGCCCGAGTTCAACCACACACGGCCGGGAAGAGGCGAAGCCAGCAGCCCAGTACATCCTCCCCTCCCTCGGTTAGAGCCACCCCGCTTCCTCCCCGCTGTGGTCCCCGTTAGGCTTCATCCAAACGCCCGGCGGGTTTTCTACGGCATGGCGGCTGTGTGGTTAATATTTATCCGGAATATTAGGAGTAAACATGTCGGTTCGCCCTCCACTAGGTTGATGATCCGCACCCAGTCCGCTTTCCCTTGCTGGTTTGGGAGAACATTGTCAAGCTATGAGGTAATACAACACCTTGTCTTCCGGTTACATCTTTCAAAATAAACACTGCTGAACTACTGAAACTTCCTCCTTCACTTTTACAGAGATATTCCCTGGTGTAAGGACTGCAACTTATTATTGTTTTCAATTATTTTGCAATTGACTTGACTTGAATATTGAAGCAGTTGTTGAATAAACTTAAGCTAAGTGACTTGTTTTATTTTAATAATTTAAGTGTTAATATGTTAAAAACTGGTGTTCAACCGCTGTATATTCATCCTAAGAAGTACATCATCCTTTTTCAACAGCGTACATGTTTATATCATTATATTATATAAACTTGATATGTTCGATCATTCTGCAGGACTCTCAAACAGCTTTGTTTTATTTCAGCATTAAAGCTCATCCTTGACCATAGTCATAGTAGTCATTTTGACGTAAATGAAAGAGATCTGATGAAAGTCCTAGAAAGAGCTAATATGTGTAAGTGAAGCTAGATTATTTTTTAAGATAACATCAACGTACATCACATCACAACTAGCAAATGTCAACACATTAGGATTAAACAGGCCAGGGGCTTGTGGTCTGAGAAAAATAATTGCTGTGTAATATCCTAACACTTTTATTTTTTAGGTGAACTCTGGCAACATCCGGTGTTAGCATGCTAAACTCTGGCAGCTCGACGCAGCCGGCCTATTGTCTGCTCCGGAGGGGAGACACCGCGCCCTGACGAGCCCTGCATCCCAGTGAAACCAGTAACTACACGGAGGAACACAGCGCGTATTGGCCAGCACTTATGACAAGTAAATTATATTTATATAAGAAAGTAAACTGTGTATGCAACAGCCTACTCAATTGACAATTAGTTTCTTCACCATCAAAATATCTGCTGTTGATTGTTTGTTTGTTTACCTTTGAGAATAAAAACCGGCACAAAAAAAAAACACTACACATGCACATTATAGTCTATAGGTGAAACAATATCCATTCGTTACGTTTAATGTTAGTGTAGTCTATTAAACAGCATTCGCATTTTCAAAAAGCATACACAACAACTGTAAAATACTTTTAATCGAAATTATATCAAAAATAAAAGTATACTCACTCTTGAATAACTTCGGAAGTGTAGGAAGATATTCATCTTGACGGAGAAATCCATCTGACGTTCTTTGAATCTGTTTGTGGAGCATTCCGAGAGTTGTTGGGGAAACACTTCCAGAAAAGACGATTTAGTAAAATATCCTGTATGAGCTTACAACAGCTTCGGTGACAAAAAAACACCCTGGTGCCAAATGAAATTTAAAACCCTCACTGCAGCCATGGCTACTGCAAGTTAGTTGCGCACTCCCGCGGATTCAGGGGGCGCGCATTAGAGCAGGAGAGTGTTATTGTAAAGATGAATAGTGTGGGAACAAGAGTACACTGCAGGCACTAGCAGGCATGGAGATACTCAGTTTACTTAGTTAAAGTACTAATGCAACTAAATGTAAAAGGCATTCATTAAAAATAAATACATCAAATTATCTAAGGCAGTGGTTCTCAACCTGTGTTTTTTTTTTTTTATAATTTTTTTTTAATTTAATTTAATTTTTATTCAAAGGTGGGGTAGGTAATTTTGGAGAAACCAGCTCGAGTGAGCTAGAATTTGAAAATACACAACCGGAAAAAATATGCCACTTCCTTACAGAGCCTTCCACAGATGACATTTTTTTAAGGATTTTTTGTCAAAGCACTTAGATATTCATTGCTATCGGCATGTTAAGAGAATTCCATGGAATATAACAAAAAGTGTATCTCGAGCCGGTTTTTCAAACTTACCTACCCCACCTTTAACCTTTACGCATAACACAGACATATAAAATACAGGAAACACAACTAAGTAAACAAAAATATGAAAAGCAGTCACTACATTGTGCACATTTGGGACATTAAGGTACACTATTATTACTGCAAGAGCAGCTGATGGTAACAGACAACTTCAATTTAAAATAGGCTATAGGGACAAGTGCCATCAGTTTGAGGCTTGATTGAATAACATTAATTAAAAAATAAATCATACTATCAAAATACTACAACGAATGAAAATAAGCTTGAGATAATTGAAACTGTGGTTTAAATTAGTTCTAATAGGCTATTGCTGTTTTTAGATTTAGAAACGAAAACATTTTTTAAATTTTATTTCTGGCGTTGCTAATTACGACCTTACTACCCGCTAACGTTGCAAGCAAGCTAAAGAAAGAAGAAAGCTGAATGATGTTAAAAACATGGCTCAAAACGGGAGGTATTCGGAAGAGAGGTACAGAGGAGAATATCACCAGCGAAAGTGAACAAGTGAATGAGGAGGAGGACAGTCATCAACCGAGTACAAGCGCAGGCTCCGCAAGCAATGCGAAAGTGATATGCACAGCCGCTGTGATGGAGGAGAGAAGTGACTCAGGAAAAAGACATTTGCTCAAATAATGGAGAGAAGGCTGTGACCGAGGTCAAACGCTGAAAAAGCACACACTTGTCCTTAATTGTTATCTTTTTTGTTATCTTTTTTACTTTGCCACCACAGAAATGGCAATAGCAAACATCAGCAGACTGAAGATGAGCTATTAGCCCTTAGGCTCATCTGCTCCTGGAGGCTTTCATTATTATTGTGGAACTGAATTCCCAATAGGACATTTTCTGTTACGATGTAGGCTGTTGCAGGAGGCCTACATTCACACTTTGGTATAGGTCCAGGAAATGAAATGTGTGTACAATTGACATTTGTTGTGTGAGAATAAGTTATTATTTCGTTCTTTATATTCTCACTTGTGGGGAGAGAGAGAGATAGAGAGAGAGAGAGAGAGAGAATTTTAACATTGGTCATATGGTGGTACTTGGAGAGCCAACTATTTCCTCAGGTGGTACTTGTTGTAAAAAGGTTGAGAACCACTGATCTAAGGTAATCAGGATAATGTACAATGTGACTGTGGTAGCATTATATGTCATACGATTACAATTGCTTCTGCATTAATGTACAAGCAGGATTATACTGTTGTACTTGGTGGAGGTGTGTCATATTAAATAAGTATTATCTTCATTATGTATTCATCTGATTATTTCTCATATAATTCTCTAATCCTTTACAATTACCGTATGTTTTTTTTCTTCTTCCATCAACAATCCAAACCTCAAAATTCTTCAAATAATTTGAAGAAACACCGGGTAAAAAAAAAGATTACTGTTGTCTTTCTTTCAAACTCTTCTAGCTTTTTGTAATTTGCATGTTAATTATATACAAATCAATGCAGTAGCTTTTCGTGACACATTTAATATCTCCTACACAGTCAAATAACACAAGTAACCATTCTTGAAAAAGACAACATCAATCTCACAGTCCGTTGTGTTTAGAAATCTCATCTTTGCACGCACTTTAAGAACATCATGCTAGCATGACTTACTCTCTGCTTCAGGCTTGATTTGACTTATGTAATACTTCCACATGAGACCCTTTATAATCCCACAGGATGTGATTGTCCTATCCTTGTGTGTGGACACATGCTTTAGCATTGAAAAAAATATTTCCAGTGTGCAGCAAAAACCAACAGGAAATCATATTTATTGTTAGCAGACAGAAACATTCATTTGAATTAATACATTTTCCCTGCTGTACAGTATATACTCAAATAATGCATGTGAAAGTATAAACTCTGTTGAAAGCCGCAATCAAAGGATGCACAATGGCCTTGAACAGCACATAAAACACTGTTTAAAGCAAAGGCGGATGTTGCCATGTTATTTTGAGTGCAGCTCCATCTCTAATTCAACCTCAAGGCTGTTTGTCCCTTTCCTTTAATAACCGCTGTCTCATTTGCTGCTTCACAGCTGGCCACAGGGTAGTTAGGACTTCACACAAACGTGAGTCTATTTTCTGATTGTTGTGTGTCTCAGCTGTGTGTGTCTGTGGTGCTCTCCTGCGCCTGCTCTGTGTGGGGGTCTTCTCTGGCTTTGACAGCGTGGAGGGCGTAGTTGATGTCCGTGCTGTTGGTCCAGCTCCAGGCTCCTGATACGGGGTTGTACAGCATCCCCTGGACAGACTGCACTGAGAAACCATCTGAGAGAGGATGGAAGGATGGAGGGGTGTTAGTGAGGGACTGACAGCAGCACAAAGACATACGTTGCTTTTCGTTTTCCGCCCATTATATAACTCTGGCCTGGCAACCACATGTGATGTATCTGATATTAGTGGCTGGTTATGACATAAGCCTACAAACAGAAGGAAACAACTTTCTGATTGGATCGTTTACAGCAGTGGCTCCCAACCTGGGGGGCGCCAGGCCTCAGCTGATTTGAGGCCAAATGTTGTTGTTTTTTTACATATAATTGTAACGCAATACATGATTTTTGCTAAAAGCCTTGTCTCTACATTACAATAAAATATTTTAAAAATTGATTAATTAATTTGAATAACAATTCAAGTTAGAAGCTATTATTGGCATAAAAAGACAGAAATGTATAATTATTTCTTTAATAGAAATGTTTCTTCTGCCCGTAAAGTGTCCAAACAGGGCTTTTCTGGATAAGCGCATTTGTAAAACATAGTCATTGTCCATGCCGGTTTCAGTTGGATTATTTGTCACAGTTGCTCCTATCAGATCGGTCTCCTCCATTTTGTAGATTATTTACAACTTTTGAATCCACATAAACACATCAGCAAAATCCGGTTTACTTTGAGCATGTGTTTTAAACAGTTTAATTCCTTTGTGAATTGTTCCCACTTGCGCCGTCCTTTAATTTCTTCATACAGCGGGAATCCAAATGAATTAATCCTGAGTCCAATAACCATCAAAGTCACTCCAATAGTGCTCCTTAATTATGCTTTCATCCTCCTTTAATGAAATACTTCACATTCATCCAGTTTGTGACAGTAGTTGTAGCATTTTTGAGACTTTTAAACTCTAATTATCGCTGTTGCGGGGGGCAACTTCCAACAGGAGTCATTTGGGGGGGCTCTTGGGAAAAAAGGT